CAATAGAAAACAAAGCAAAAGTTTTATAGGTGTGTAGAGCGTTAAGTTAATTCACTTGTTATTATTTTTGGCTAAATATGCTTTTAAATAAAGTATATTCTTAAATTTTAGCGAGGCAGTTTAAATAATTTTGCAAATGGTACTGTACACTTTTGTCTAATTCTCGCTCGATGATCGGTGGAGAAATGAGCTCCGCAGACAAATATGATTGAATTTGGAATTATGCTACGGCGCATCCTAATAAAGGGAAGGGGCATATCTTTAACTTCATGAAACGAACAGTATATATAGGTACAATCAATGAGATCTGAAAAAGGATCTCTATAAAATACAACATTGAATAGAAAAGTCGAAAGAAAGAAACAGTAGAAGTCAGCCATAAAATACGTCATTTAGGACACATCTTCCACCTTATCTAAAAATTTTCACAACCCTTAAGAATATCTAACAAAGTTAAATAAATAATAAATTTCTTACCTGGATTATCCGCTTTAAACCTCAATATCGTGTATCCGCCATCTGGCACAGTCACAGTGTCTTTGACAACAGCATCCATGAGGTTTCTTTTTATTTTCCCTTCCGCATCCAGTCGTTTAACCTCTTCCAAAGTCGTATTGGAGCCCAGTCTTTTCATGGCCACCACTCTGAAATAATTACCATGCAGATGGAAGGGATGATTAGCATCATAAGCAAATCCTTCATCAATCATCACTAACTCTACTACCGAATTCAATGCAACCTGCAACAAAAAGAAAAAGAAAATACTAAAATATGTTGCTTCTCTTTGGACCATGAAAAAAACCTCTGTAGGCGATTAAAATATTAATTGGTAGATAATTAGAAATCAAATAATTTTACCTGTAGGACATGAGTACATTCACAATAATCATCTGCACAGTCCTGAGCTTCGATGGTTGAAGAATTGCAGAAGTTTTTGTCGTCTATCGTGTCCCTTCCTTGAAGAATTGGAACGTCTTGGTACGTCATTGAGATGCGATTTAATTGAGGAGTCAAAAGGCGTTGTTTAGGGTTGCTCACTGAAAAAATAGTATTAAATAAAAATATCATGTACATTTAAAGTTTTTCTTTCGATTACTCGTACCATTGAAAAATCCATAAAGGTCCCCTTGGTGGAAGTGAGGATTATTTATTTTGTAAAAATCGTAAGCCAAATGGAATTGGTAATCAGGCTTTTCTTTCAAAGTGTCATCCCATCCATCTAAAGATACCAATTTTGGCATTGTGATAGTTTCGTTGTCTTCCGTGCCTTTATTAAGGGGATTAAGTTGCTAAATAAAACAAAATATATTAATTATCTATCGAAAATTAAAGAAGCGACGATTTTTGGTTTTTTTTTTTATCCAGGCGATCGGATTTAGTCATAGCCTTTTGGTATTGACATTTCTTATTGTCGTCATCTTCAAAGTTTGACGATAGACTATTGGAAATTTTGAAACCAGCAAGTCAACACAGGTTATGACGAAACCATACCCTGGATTTCTGAAATTTTATTTAAGAAACTAACCAATCCTTGTCTGTGAGATGAAGCATAATCCAATAAAGATGATGGATTGCCTGTTTCAGATGCATTTTTGTATTGTAATACAGCTCCTTGAAAAACACTTGTGAACCTTGCATCACAATCCATGAGGCCACTGAATCGCATCCAATACAAATCGATCTCCTGGTTGGCATTGAGAACAAAGTCGAAACGTTCTCCAGCATATAATACCAATGAATCAACTAAATAGGAATAAAATTTAGTTTAATCATGAACTAGTGAATCATTTGGGATAGTGGTGCTCACCCTCTACAGGTTCTATGTCTTTTCCGTCACTACTAATCACAGTGAGTGTATGGTTATCGATGGACATTTCAATAGGGCAATTAAGAAATCCAGAATTTGTGACTCTGAACCTATATCGGTAGTTCTGTTGGAAAAAAAATAAAAACCAAAATAAATTAGGGAGTTAGAAAATTTAAAAAATGTAGCAAACTGATTAAACAGAAAAAGTCACAATTTTTTTAATTCATTCTCCTTGATAACTTCGTTGAAAAAAGATATATTGGAATATTGGGAATATATATATATATA